AAAAAAAAAAAAAAAAAAAAAAAAAAACCTGAGTCTCCTCAATCCTTGCGGTGCATTCATCACGTCGGGACTGGGATGGCTGTTCTGCCCCCAGGCCCCTTGGAGGGCGCTGGCTCTTGAACAGATCACCAGATTGGGCCTCCCTACCCTCGAGGGCACAGACCAGACTACATGATTGGACAACGGCCGCTGGCCACTCCTGCAAAAAGCAAAAACTCACCCAGTAACAGACAGGCAGGCGGCAGGTGAGGACCTGGGCAGTGGGTAGGGGCCCCTTCTGGACCACATTGTTGGCACGGCCAGACTGGAGACGCCTCCCACTTGCGGACAAAGTACCACCTCAACGGTGGGAGGACGTCTTCAGGCAGCCCCTTTTTTTTTGGTTACCGGTGGCTCATGGATACACACAGCAGGGTCTTTGCTCGCTCGTAACGAGTCTCCCTGGCAAGGCTGGACTAAATGTGCTATTCTGCGTATAGGTGGCATCTGGGACCCGGAACGTAACAATTAGATATCGGAGTCTCGACTGAAAACGCACCTGAAATATTGTCATGACAAGAGTGCTGCACTAGAAACTCTCATTTCCTCTGTCCCCTTGGACTGGGTACGCATCCTTAAGTGGGGCCCAGAACTGGAGGGGGGGGAACTGGGTTGCCATCCGGGGACGCACAGACCACGTAGGGAGCATAGTAAACCTCCACCTGGATGGGGAAGCTTTGGTCCACCTCTTCCAGTCCTGAATAAGAGGGAGACCGCTGGCGAGCCTACCAACCCCATGGACAGGATGTCCTGGCCGGTAACATAGGAAAATGGACACTTTTTATTTTTTGAACAAATGGAAGCCGACTAAATTGGCCCGATTGAGGCCAAAATGTTTAGCTTTTGATGGTACAGCATTCTTAAACCACCAGTACTTGGCCCAGCTATCAACGCTGAAACCGGAATGCCCCTGCGTGCCAATTTTCTCCGAAGCGCCGGGGCACAGTTTCAATTTTTCTTTGGCTGGCGCTTCCAGCCATTGTGGTCCGGTACCCCGAAGCCCTAAAGGCGGGGCGTGTTAACGGGAAAGCGCCGCGGCCGATAGCTGGGCCAAGTACTGGTGGTTTAAAAGTTAAAACGCCCTTAAAAAAAAAAAAAAAAAGGCCCTAACCCCTGAATGTATCTGGAGTCTGGACTTAATTCTGCAAATCTTGGACCTGCGGACGACCAGACTCTGAATGTATCTGGACTTAACTCTGCAAATCTTGGACCCGCGGAGGACCAGAGGTGCTTTTGGTTACAGTCAGCTAAAGGCAGGGGTCAGTCTTCTCTGCAATCCTCCACTTGACCTTCAGATGCAGACAGGCAAATGTCCAATGCCGGGGTCCAGTGTTTATAGGATGGGGGTTCAAGGGTTTACGAGTAGGCAAGCGACTACAGCGCAGCAGTTGCAAACATGCATGCAGCGAGATTGTCCATACGTCATGAACACAGTGACAAAAAAACCCTTTCGTCTACATCAAAACACGAAGACGAGGTACTTTGAAAATGTCGAGAAACAGTCACGTAAAGCCCTGTGACACTCCAAAGCACACCCATGCGTGAGAAACGCGAAAGCGCCCTACACACATGTGCAGGCAAGCGAAAAAAAAAGAGAGAGGGTTAAGATTACGAGCAGGCAAGCGAGGGCGCAGGCAAGCGAAAAAAAAAGAGAGAGGGTTAAGATTACGAGCAGGCAAGCGAGCATGGTGCAGGCAAGCGAAAAAAATAAGAGAGGGTTAAGAACTTAAGATTACAAGCAGGTAAGCGAGTACGGCGCAGGCAAGCGAGTACGGCGCAGGCAAGCGAGTATGGCGCAGGCAAACGAAAATGGCGCAGGCAAACGAAAAAAAAAGAGAGAGGGTTAAGATTACGAGCAGGCAAGCGAGTATGGCGCAGCAGTTGCAAACATGCATGCAGCGAGAAACACGAAAGCGCCCTACACACACGTGCAGGCAAGCGAAAAAAAAAGAGAGAGGGTCAAGATTACAAGAAGTCAAGGGAGTACGGCGCAGGCAGGCGAAAAAAAAAGAGAGAGGGTTAAGATTACGAGCAGGCAAGGGAGTACGGTGCAGGCAAGCGAAAACAAAAGAGAGAGGGTTAAGTGCAAGGGAGTACGGCACAGGCAAGCGAAAACAAAAGAGAGAGGGTTAAGATTACGAGCAGGCAAGTGAGTACGGCGCAGCAGTTGCAAACACGCATGCAGCGAGATTGTCCATACGTCACGAACACTGTGACAAAAAACCCTTTCATCAACATCAAAACGCGAAGATGAGGTACTTTGAAAGTGTCGAGAAACAGTCACGTAAAGCCCTGTGACACTCCAAAGCACACCCATGCACAAGAAACGCGAAAGCGCCCTACACACATGCATCTACGCCTCGACGTTAGCAGGCCTGTCATGCCAGCCTCTACAACAACCTGGAGTTCTATTTTAAAAAAAATAAAAAAAAATCAAAAGATTACAAGATCCACTTACATGCTTCATTGTTCTCCTTGTGGTCGATGCCAAGTGACCACGGAATGCCGCGGCATCCTAATATCGCAAGGTGAGTATCCTGAGGGGAAAAGAAATCACAGACCAAAAACAGATCAAGCTCTCTGTCACAGGCAGTCAGATTCATTCCCTCCCATTCACTATCCCTATCTCTCTATCTATGGAACAGCGATTTCGATAAAACGGACAGTTTATATTTTATGAACGAAATTGAAACCCACTTATTTAGCCCTAAAAATGTTACCCTTTTAGCTCCTTAGGATTCCCCTTGGATGTACCTGAACTTCAGTTAAGTCCAAATGAACTTTTTTTTTTTTTTTTTTTTTGGGAAAACCTTGGCTGTCTACTAGAGGGGGTGATACAAGCAGTGCCCACTAGTAGTAGCCTCCAGCTGCTCCATCTATTGGTGGGGAGCTGCACCTGCAGGAAAATGGGTCCAGCGTCCCTTAATGGACCCTCAGGAGATAAACGGTGATATTTTTTGGGCTGAATACGTAGGTTTCAGGTTTTTACACTTTTTTTCGTTCAAAAACTATAAAATGTCCGTTTTGATGAAATCGCAGTTTATGGTACTTGGCATGGTACACTGTGGATCCCTGCTGTGAGTTGAGGTGTTGCGGGCAGGTAAACATATTTGCAGTAGTTAGCAAGGCAACACAAGGCAGGTGGTTTCAATTTTTTTATTTTTTTTTCGGAAAAACTTTGTATACGGGTGACCTACTTAACAAGGTGATAAGAGCAACCCCGGTAAGTAGGGCCCGACGTCGAAGGCTCCATCTATTGGTGGGGAGCTACACCTGCTGGAAATCGGGTCCAGCGTCCCTGTACAATGGTGTGAGTGTATGTGCTGGAAACCGGGTCCAGCATCCCTATGCAGAACTGTGTTGATATCTCCAACGATCCATGTCTGCATGTTGAACAGTGTATTTCAGATGATGGGAAACCCTATCCCTCTGATCTACAGTATCTCCGAAACAAACCGAGGCATGGATCCATATCTTCTCTATCAGGCGAAACCCTAAACGTAGTGTGATGTGTATTATATTTGTATAGCTTGTGCAAGCTGGAAACCGGGTCCAGCGTCCCTATACAGTGGTGTGTGCCTATGTAACTATGTCCCGCAGTCTGAAACTGTCTATATATCTATATATCATGTATCAATCAAAATGTCATCACGAAACCGTAAACAGGATATGATGTGTGTGATGTTTGTCAATCGAGCCTAAACACGCAGCTCTATCAATGATGAGATATGAATGATGTGGACACCAATGCATTATCGTGTTATCGTGTGAGACTGACAGGAGGCTCACAAGGGAAGGATTAACCTCCTGCGAGCTAACCCTAAACAGCCCAGCTCCAACCCACGTGGTGATCAGCACCCTATTGATGATTGATATTGTGGGCCGGGCAACACCAATCACCACCGACTATCCTACTCCTATCCTCTGCCAAACGACGTGGAGCAATTCCGTATCGAGGTTGGAGGGGGGGAAGACAGTAAGCCAATTCTCCGTGTCAACTCCAATCCCCCGCCCCTCCTCTTGCGGCATCATTCCCATCACACGGATGAAAATCTGAGATGCACGAATACCACTTTCTACCCCACTGCTTCCATGTCCGTTTCCCCCGCCGTCGTCCCCGCTGTTGTTGTTGTTGTTGTTGTCAACTCCAATCCCGCCGTCGCCCCCGCCATCATCGTCGCTGTTGTTGTTGTTGTTGTTGTTGCCGCCATCACTCGGCATCTCCCTTATCCCGTCGATGATGATCACGGCTGCACTGACACCACTGTCTACCCCGCTGCTTCCGTAGTCGTTGCTGCCACCGTCGTCGTCATTGCTGTTGATGTTGTTGTTGTCGTTGTTGTTGTTGTTGTTGTTGTTGTTGTTGTTGTTGTCGCGCTATTTTTGCTGTCACCGCAATTATCTTCGCCGGCCTCCAAACCTCCCTCGAACCAGTTGTCCTTGTCGCCGTTATCGCCCATCTCGCCGATCTCGCCAATTCTCTGCAGAATCTCCAGCTGTTTGCATAGATCACGTCCCTATGTAAAGAGGGTTTTGCAAGCACCCATCCTGTCGTCCGCCCGCCTCCAGTCGATGTAGCCCTTAAGCCGGGGATCCGGTTCCTCCTCCAGCTCCCACATAATGTCTAACATCTCCTGGATCGTATCTTCCAACCCCACTATCGTCTACAACTGCTTGCGTCCCTCCTCCAGTGTGACAATCCATTCCTCTGCTTGATGGTGTAGCTCCCCCACCGAATCCATCGCTCGCCCAATTAACTGCGCCACTCACACGGTTCTTCTGAACCCCTTGTAATCCCAGGGCTGGCGCTACCCCTGTTCACATCTCCCAACAGCAGGCGCCACGTGGCAACGAGCCACTCGCACCTACTGGGCACGTGCGCAGGCCCAGGTGCCGGGGAGCTGTTCTCCCCGGGCGCTTAGTCGAGCCGGGACGACCGGGCCCTGCCGGTAAGCCGGCGTCGGGGCGCCAGCGCTAGCGCAGTTTCTGATCAAGCCGCCACCCTATGCGTCACATGGAGGCTGCTCTTATCACCTCCAAGGCAAGTGGTTTCATAACATCAGTATCTCCGCCCTGGCCCTCACAACACCCCCTCCCCCCCCAAAAAAAATTAAAATAAAATAAAGAAGTTAAAAAAACATTGGTATCAGTGCAGGGACAGGTCCACCGGTGAGAAAAGAGGTAGCACTCTGTGTCAGGAGATGATTGACGAAGAGAGGGCAGTTCTCATGTGCAGGGGGTAGTGTGGAGTGCGTTGGCAGGAAGTGTGAAGGAAATGACTGGAGGCTGGTGACGACTGTTTGCAAGGGGGGAAGCGGCGAATGAGTTGAAATTTGAAGCACATCGGTCAGTGATCAACAACGATTGGTGACTTCAATGAACGTCAGGACAACAGCAGGGATGAGAGGTTGGGGGTTGGGGGTTGGGGGTTATTGGGTTTCGCAACCGTACCATTGTAGGTCCACAATAGAGAAGGGAAGAGGAGGGGGGGGGGATGACAGACCCGCTGGGACGGCCGTCCGTCAGGATCAAGACGAATGGATGAGGATGGGGGAGATGGAGATGGAGCTGGAAGGGACAGCGCAGCTCCAATGCAGACTCAACACACACATACTCCAAACTGTGCAAACGAAGAATGAGGCACAAAACAGACTCCAGCTGGGTATACCCCCAGCAGACTGACTGGACTGGACTGGTACCGCCGGTGGTACCGGACTGGACTGGACTGGAACAGCACACGGCCTGTGGGATCAGGCCATGGCCTGGTCCCACAGGCCGAACAGGCAAAATAGTCGAATAGGCCCTGGCTGTAGGCCAAGGCAGATAGAGGCCCACTGCAGGGGGGGAGGGGTCAGAGAAGTCGGATAAAGGGTGCAGGGGAATGTGTGGTGCAATGTTTGTCCAGTCGTAGAAGAGTAGTTTGCAGTTTCTATGTCTTTCTTCCGGTCCCTGATCCGGCTCCCCTTCCTGTGCTGCCCCCGTCCAGGAGACCCTGGCTACCCATCCTCCCTCCTCCACCCTCCCCTCCTAACTAGTTTTTGCAGAAATCCCGGATATCCGCCCATTTTGTTCCCTTTTTTTTTTTTTTTTTCCCAAGAAACATCGGCTGCGGGGAGTTGTGGGGGGGAGTTGCTGGTAACAGCAGTCACCCCGTCTACTGATCCCAGTATTGTTCCGCTTTCCTTTCAAATGCAGTCGGTCATCTCCCGTCCTTCCACCAACACCCCCTCCATCACCACAATGCCCAGAGGACTGCTCGCCGACCCAGGCGGAGCATATTTTCCATAAAGGTCCCTGTTTGGGCTTGCTGCCAGTGGCCAGTGAGGATGGCCCGCCACCCCAGCACGTGATGCTCCCCATGAATAGACTGGAGCTGGAATTACAAAAAAAAAAAAAAAAAAAAAAGGATGGCCCGCCAATCCCATGACCAACAGGTGTCCCCCACTTTTTGTGACCAGATCCGGTCCCTCCACCGCCATATGAAATCCAGACCCAGGCACTGCATGAAGATGTGTTCACTGGTTTCTGGGGTCCCCTGTTGTGGGAAGATTGTGTTGCATCGTTTTACGCCAGAGGGCTTTCCCTTGTGTTGCTCCAACCTGGTGTGGTCAATCAGCCAATTGTTTGTGGGTAGGCAGCGGTGTGCAATCTGCCATTGAAAGAGAGGAGATTTAGCTGACCTCCCTTCCCTCTCCTGGAACCACCTAATCGGCTTGATGAGATCATAAGGTACGCCGAGTTTCCTGTTCCAATGGTCATTGACTGCGTCCCTCAGAATACACTTAGGCCTCAGCACCTGGTAGGTGTTCTGTACCGACAGTTGATGCAGGTATTCGTACTTTGGCACAGTTCCGGGTCGACCCTGTTGGGCCCATCGCCATTCTGCCAGGTCAAACGGTAGGTCAGCTATTGTCGTCTTCGGGCTTTAGACTTGGAGGTCGGGCCATTTCCCCAGAACCCGAATCCACGGGCAATAGCTGGGCCAAGTACTGGTGGCTTAAAGAGTATGTATCGTTCTACTAGTTGAAGTACTTGACATCAAAGGCATTCAGCAAGACCGACATTCAAAGCCACACAGAATCTGCAATCAAGAGGGTGGAAGAAGGGAAGAGGAGAGGGAAAAGAAGAAGAAGAAGAAGAGGAGAAGAGGAGAAGAGAGGTACGCAGGAGATGGAAACACGGGTAAACTGAAAAAAAATCCCGAACACGACTCAAAGGAGCAAAAAAAGATTGTGTGGTAACTCCTAGACGGATGCAAAGCATCTGTGCGGCATACGACCCTACCAGTTTCTACTAGTACCACCCCTGGCTTGGTCTTTTTTTTCTTTTTCTTTTTTTTTTACTAGTACCTCCCCTGCCTTGGTCTAATGTATCAGGCCCACCCAACGCGGTTTTCCCCTAACAGCAACCCAGTCTCGACCCCGCAATGTTGGCCCTTGTTTAAGGATGTGGTACCATGCCAGTGGGAAAGCAAAAATAATAACCTTGCCCTTTTAAACCACCAGTACTTGGCCCATACATTGGTCGCGCATCCTGGTCGTATGCGCAATGCGACGTTCGGGGCTCAGCCTCCATAGCAAAATGGCTGGCGGTGCCAGCCAAAAGGAGGCTGCACTGTTTTTGTTTTTTTTTGGCCCGCAGGGCGTTTCGGGTTGGAGAAAAGTGCCTCAGAAGTACTCGTGGTTTTTAAAGCACCAGTACTAGGCCCAGCTATCAGCCGTGGAAAGAAATAGAGTAGAAACGTTTCTAGTCCGATGGATTTGGGCACTCCCGTAGTGACCCGTACATTTCCTAAAATTGTGGCTTGTTAACGGGCACGACTATAGGAAGTACTGGCTACTGGTTTGGCCGTTTGGAAGTCCGTCCCAGTAGCCAGTTTGCAGAACTGTCCTGAGGCCATTTGCAGAGAATCGAAAAGCAAGGACACAAAAATGACAACGGCAAAATTGAAATGACACCAACCTTTTTGTTTTTTAATTTAAGCCAGGTTATTGTGGAGGCCAGGTTCCAGACACATGGTGGTCCCAGTTATCCGCCAGCCATTGGTTGTCCTGACAATTGTTCCATTTGTGAGACCGCCTCCCAACCCATCCTCTCATCAATTCTCCCAGCGCACCCACCCCCTATTCCTACACCAACCTTAATCTATGCAGGGGACTTCAGTAGTTGTCTTGTGAGCTGCTTGTTCAATAGGTTAGCAGTCACTCATGACTAATCCTCAATTTTGCAGTTCGGACAATGTATACAACCCAACTTTCTGGCCAGGCACGGTGCCCGAACTGCAATTGCAAACTGTATCTTGGCCCATAGAGCAGTTATAACTCCGTTTTGTGCCTCTACTGAAGTTACCCCTTGCATGAATCTTCCAATCGTTCTCAGACGAAGCCAGGGTAATGGACCCGGAATTTCAAAGGAAGAACAAAACTCTAAAAAGGCAAAAAGCCCTCCTAAACTCTAGCCGAAGCCTGTTAATGGCCCTTCACGGTTGATGGCGGGAGCTGCTAAAATTGAAGAATCTGAGTTTAACCTTCGTCCCCACCGTATCCCCCCCCGATCCCCATGGGCTCCCCACCCCCAACACCTCCTCAGCCCTCTACTCCCCCAGCGGACTCCCAG